TATGAAGAGACAGAAGGATCTGAGGCAGCCTACATCCACCGGAGATCTGTGGTTAGTTCTCCAAGATGTTTGGAATACCTACCTGCCGAGTTCCTTCAAAAACTGTGTGCAAGTGTTCCTTGAAGAATTGATGCTGGTTTGAAGGCAAAGGGTAATCACACCAAATATTGATTTGATTTGGATTTCTCTTCTGTTTGCTCACTCTGCATTTTGTAAACTGATAAACATAAACAATTACAATATATATTTTTGAAAGCATTCTTACTTTATAGCATTTTTTCACACCATTTTTCTTTGGTCTTTGATGGAAATAAACTTTGAACTTAACTGAACATCTTACAGTAGATAAGAGTTATATGCTAACATGAGGGACCACCTCTCTCCAACTGTTTCTGTCCCCCTGGTATATTCAGAAAGTTCCAAGCCCCTTCTATTAAATGCTGCCATCTTGTGGGATCAAGGAAGTGTGTCTTCTCTATGCAGTTCCCAATGTCTGGAACAGCATCCCTCCAGAGATATGGATGGCACCACCTCTCATGGGGTTCTGGAAAATCTCGCTTTGTCCCCAGGCCTTGGGTTAATGTGTTGGGAGTGGGGGGCTGTTGTGTTTTATTATTGTGGTGGATTTTATTTTGGGCTCTCTTGTTTTATGTTTTTAACTGTTTTACCCATGGATTAGATTTTGTAAGATGCCCAGAGTCTACCAAAGTGGGTGGTCATAACAAATTTAATGAAAGAAATAAATGAACATTTCTGAAGGGCACTGAGTTAGAGAAAACTTTACAGAGCATCAATATTCCACAGCTATTGAGATGGAGACAAAAACAATCAAATTAATCAGAGATTTCTTAAAAAATATCTGCAGCTAGCACATACTAAAAAGATTGCAGCAGAGGAGAAAACAGATGTGATTATTTTAAAAATGTAATACTTTCATTAAGCCATTAAAAAGTCATTGGATATATTTCAATCTGGTGATGTAATTCCTCTAAGATTACAGACTATATGGCATATACTTCTATATTTACTGCTTTAAAATGTTTATTTTAAAAGTATATCATAATGATTGAGAAAGAATTATAACTATGTAGGCCCATGAGAAAAAAAAAATCCAATGTCCACAGTATGATAAAAATCTAACCAAATGGCGCAAAACAGTGCAAGCTTGTAAATTCTGGAAACCTGAAGGCGTTAATTAGATAATTATATCTTTCCATTTTTCTTTACCACATTTCCTTTCCCTGCCAAATTATAACTTTGAAATGGCAGGAAGGCTCAGGAGCTCCTGGGAGTAATGCCGACAGGACTGTGAGCTCCTGATAGGGTGGTCACTCTTGCCAGGTGAACCTGAGGATATCCACAGCAGGCACGGGCAGGTGGGAGTCTACAGGCATGAGGGAAACAACCCCAATTAGGAGGAGGAATTCCAACATCACCTTAGAAGAAGGCAACAGCAAAGCCACTTCTGTATTAATGAGAACTTTCCAGTCAGATGACATATTCTAGTTACTGGGGAGGGAGCTAGAGTGGGCTACTAAAATGAGTACATGGCACTATTGTTCAGGGCATAGAAGGAAATAAAGTGGCCCCGATACACAAAAAGAACATTATGTGCTCATGTGTAATCAAATAAACAATAGGAACATAGCTATTAGATGCAAGCACAAGGCAGCAGAGTTTCCACTGCAATGCATGCTTCATAATTTCCCCTCCCCACTCCCCGCCCTTGTTGATGCCCAGGGAAGGAGATTTACTTTTGCTTTATAACCTTTAGCCATGGGGCTAATGCCAGAATGTGGACTATATTAGGATTAATGAACGTGCCAGAACAGCTCATTATGCCTCGGATTAATCTTGACATGAACAAGAAACTGAGTCCGGAAAAGCAGAGTAGTTCAAAATTGGGAAGGGAGTGAGAGTCTTGCACATACCCACAGTACACATTTCCCTGGCACTGGCTTTTTTCCCCCTTTCTTGATCTTTCCTTCATCTCCTTTACTACTCATGGGTGAGACAGCCTTAAATTATCCTTGACTGTAATGGTATCAGAGTAATGTTTTCTCCTTAAGCTGACATTATCGAATAGCATTTCAAAGTGTGTAACATCTGATGTGCTTCAGTGCCCATTCCAGAGTGTCAGGTAACACGTAGCAAGTAGGATCAGCTAGACCAGTGTTTCTCAACCTTGGCAGCCTGAAGATATGTGGACTTCAACTCCCAGAATTCCCCAGCCAGCAAGACTGGCTGGGGAATTCTGGGAGT